CCGAATCACCATTCAAGACGCCTCTTTGCATACTGTTATCTGAGAAAACACAAGGTATTTCAGAATTGCAGAGAAATCCTCCTCATTCTATTTATCAAATTAGGATTGGACATACCTCCAAGTTTCCCTGTAGAAGTCTCTTGAGGACCAAGTGTGAGCCATTTCCTTTCAACAGGAACTTCTTCCTCTGAGTCAACAGCTCTCTCACGTGGGTGAAGAAGCTCCAGATTGGATCCATCTGGCCCACAAGATTCAGATGGTCCCAAAGAGATCCATGGTTTTCTTGAATCCACATCATGATACATACTTTTGAATAGTACCTCAGCTGGATGGCTCATAGGTTGCTTGTTGGATAGAAAGAAGGGTTCTATATGTTCAACTTCAACATGTTTGTGGTCCAGAATCTCGGTCCTTCTGTCCTGAACACTATCTTGATCGCTACAAATTCTTCTTGAATGTTCAGTATCAGAAATTTCATTCTTTGGAAACAATCCAAGTGATAATCCTAAGTTTGGCCCTTCATCTGATGGAACTTGACTAAATGGATGAGTTGGTCCTTTAGCTCCATATGACATTACATCATCTGATAACCCGTACTTGTGAACTGAATCGAAGTTTCTCAAGTCCATTGAATGTTCCATTTGTAGGGAAAAGGACGCGAGGAAGATTAATTGGGAAACCCCTTGTAATCTCAACAATATTAGCATCTTGGCTCGAATCGATAAGCAACTCATTCACAGAAAAAGAAAGGACTTTTAATCAAAAATCAAGTGGAGATTGTAGGTTACTAAACCATATCTAATGAACTGTGCCGCTTCATGTGTTTCGATCGTCTTACAAGTAGGAATATTCAGACATGCCTACATACATACAATCACAAAGCCATATTGTTGTCATACCATGCACTTCGCCTTCCAAAGTCTGATCACACGTTCATCATTCACAACATGTCTCCAAAGAGGTTTGAAGGTGTCCAAGATATCAATTCGGAAAAGGCCTCGGATAGTGATCCAGACACCACTTCCAAGGCAGTTGCCAGCCGGGGATTTGTTAGGAGTTGTTGGACTTGGAGATAAAGCCTCTGGAAATGTATTGTAGTTCCCATAGGGCGTAGACATGGGAGGTCAAGGAGCTCAGTTAAGCTTATATTGGCATGGCCCATGGTCCGACCATATTTGCAACACTGGACCAATTACGCTAAAAAAGCGTTAGAGAAGCTGGTAGCGTAACTTTTTCATCCATCTACACCAACGTTTCCCGTTAGATGTGGTGATCTACGCTACCAGATCCTGGAATTTTTGTTAACTCGGTATTGCTACATTCTTAGCGTTAGCTGGATTTGTTCATCTATGTTAACAGCCATCAAGATTTGATGTTAGCTGTTAGCTTTGGTTAGCGTGCCCCTGCACCAATTTGAGGACTTCACCTCCTGAAGGTGAAGATCCTTGACGTGATGAGTTGTAACCAACTCGCAAACGCGCGAGTCAGTTCGCCCTGTGGTTGGGTCACATTGGAATCAAGTTTTTTTGATCACAATTTGATGATCATACAGTGGCTATTGACACTAAAGTCCTACTCTCACAACTCAAAATGAACGCAAAGCATCAATTATAGTAGTATCCACCACCAAACCAGCCCTTGCTGCTATAGCTTACGGGAAAGCCGATTAAATTTTTTTACGTGATGTTAGTTGTTAGCGCGTTTTTGTAGCGCTCTACAGTTACATTTTTGCAGTTTCGATTCGTTCGTTAGCTTGTTCAAGTTACGCTGATCAAAAAGTGTTAGCTAATGGTCCCCAGAATAATGTTATTACGTTATTATGATAACTTGCTCATCTACGCTATCCGGATTGGTCCTGATAGCGCTGAGTAGCGTAGTGATCCAGCGTTGATATTTGTTCACTCATTCTGGCTCACTGGCAAATTCTCCATAACATAGCCAATACTCGGCTGGACCATTTAGATTTGGCAGCTCCGCGCAATGGTCCTAATGATTGAATGGAATGGTCTTCCTTAGGCCATAAAGTAAAAGATTTATCCATTCTCTTGTAAGTCAGTAGTTAACGGCTTATTTTAATCACCATCCTTAGCTCTGCCTTGGCCAACATACAGTCGTTTTCAAAAAGCTTGCCGAAATTTGCCCGCAAAACTCGAGCAATTTGGCGGTGAATTAGCGGCAAGCTTTTTGAAAACGACTGTATATGGCTGAGGTGAGAGCTGGTTCGGGGGAAGCAGACCAAGCTTTTGCATGTCATGGAAAATCCCGATGAGATGGAAGGGATAGAGATTTTGTCTGTATGAAAATTTTCAGACTTCAAGGTTTGAAAATCTTGTGAAGGTTTGAAATTCTTGTGCATCACATCTCTTCCCGACTCTCTTTTGTCACCAATGTGACCTTGTACTCCATGTGAGTCACAAAGTGCTCTGGAGACTGTATGTAGTATCAACTGATCAAGCGTGATATGATGTATCTCCTTTTTGAAACCTACCATCAAACTATAAGCTAATTCCTATCCAGGACAAGTTAACCAACACACACCAGTCAATCACTGATGATACTTGCATGATCCATCTTCAACACCAACCAAGTTGGTTCCTTGTATGTACTTCTTCATAAACCAAACCAACCATTAATACAACAGTTTCAAGAAAAAAATGTTAATCTCCTTAAATCTTTCCTTTTTTCTTTCATACGGTTACACTACCAATATAAATTTTATATAAAGAGCTGTTGTATGTAGTCAACTTATTCAAGAGTGAAAAGTTTATGAAAACTCAAATCATTACTTTCTATATATCCAAAAAACACTGACACAACCTTTTCTTTCTTTGGTCATGACCAAAGCTCAGCATCACAATACATATCCCTGCACTCAGTCTCAGACAGGAAAATCTTCATTCCTTTGATCTTCACTTTCTGATCCCTTTGATCAGACTTCATATCACATCTCAAAAAATGAGTTTAATCCAGTTAGATAATATTGATCAGAGATCTGGCAAATCACAAGCAGAAAGGTAATAGAGAGACTTAAAAGATGTACTCACCTATGAACCCAGATCTAAAATACTTTAACAAACCTTTGAAATAAGTTTCATATATCAACTCCATAGAAACTAAAAAAAACTTAATAAACCATTCAAAACACAAAATCCAATCCTTTTTCATTATCTTCATTATTTAATAAACCCTTCAAAACATGAATCAAAAAAAATCAAAAAAACCAAAAAATCAAAAAATCAAAAAATCAAAAAATCAAAAAATCAAAAAATCAAAAAATCAAAAAATCAAAAAATCAAAAGATCAAAAGATCAAGAAATCAAAATATCAAAATATCAAAAACCAAACAATCGAAACACCCAATCAGATTTTCTGAAAAACCTATATTCATCAAACACACACACATATACCCAGTTCACTAATCCTACAAATCCTATTTAATTTACTACATCTTCCGCACTCATAAATAAACAAGAGAACCAATTCATTCCAATCCAATTCAATCCAATTCAATGCAAAAAAACCCTCAATTCTTTAAAGCACCTTAAACATTTCCAAAACCGCACTCAATAATTAATAAACCAACAATCTCTTCAACCAAGTACAGTGGGTCTCATCAAAGCTCAACTACCCCCCGTAGGGGGGTTCGAAATTTTGGCTGATTATGACTTGAACTGCCACTGGTCTTGTCATGGTGCTGTGGCTCAGTGGTATCAGCTAGCGACTGAGTTGTAGGCTCCTGGGTTCGAGTCTTAGCGTGTTTTGCACATTTTTGATCAAATGTCTTGGTGACGTGGTAAACATGAGCTATCTCATGCTGTGCTTTTTGAATGCAACTGTCTGAGAATTTGATTGAATCTCACACGTCACATATTGTCAATGAACATGATGTATCTCATGCTGGGCTTTTGAATGCACCTTGTTTGTGCTTTGGTTGGCCAAAAGAAGCTTAACCTTCTTGATCTTTGATTCGAGATCCACCTCAATACCCCTCCCATGGCTTTCAGCAAAGCTCAAAAAGCCCAGCAACAGCGGCGCCTTACTGAAAGAACTCGCCGTGAAACCACGGATTTGGACGATGAAAATGACTCCATGGCCACATCAGATGGTTGCGAGGATCCAGGCAGCGACACCGACACCGACACTGAGCTTGAAACTCGAAATCAAATCTGTGAAGTGATGCAATGCGTCGATTCTAACATTGCCGACTCTTCAGATGAAGAGGCATGCAAAGAAGATCTCAGCCAGCTGCTCTGGCCAGCCTTTCGTCAACAGCGTGCATCTGAATCTTTGGCTGGAAAGCGTAAGCATGCTTCAGGTCGCATCCTGAACGGCTACAAGAAGCCAATTTTCAACACGAAGAATCCAAACAGCAAAAAACTCATTCCCCGACCTCTTCCCAAGGCCACTCGCAGTAATTACAAATCAAATAAGATCAAAGCACTAGGCAAGAACAATTCCTGCATGCAAAGGTGGATGCAGACTGCCAAATCGACAAGCACACCCACCACCGAGATGCCCAATGTTCCCGAGCCAAGCACACCTGCGATAAATCTTGATGATACAACTGAACTAGAAGAACAGCCTATCGAAAAAGAGCAAGATATAATTGATTATGAAAGGTTCATTGAAAGTTCTGTTGATTCATACGGATCATCATCAAAAAAAGCTGGTGGAAAAGATTTGAAAGTTTATTTAGATGAACAATTTAAAGAGCTAGATGATGCAATAAACCATGTAGCAGATGAATGCAAGATCAAACAAAAGAATAACTCAAGTTATCAGTACCCAGCTCTTGAGATTGATGAACTCCGAGATTTCAACGCACTCCGATACGAATTTTCCTTGGACAAGAGAAAGACGCCCGAAATCACTGCTTCACGATTTGCTGCAAAGTCATCCGTTCGGCGATTACCAACTTCAAAAAAGAATCCAAGCTTCAGCAGTGGAGTCAGTCGTGCTCGTCGGATACGTGCCCAAGCTAAGCACATTGTGAAATATAAATCATTATTATTATCAAATACTGGGCTCAACACTGCTCATCCCTCAATGCTCGATAACAAACAAATGTTTAAAGATCTTTACCAGTGGATAGTGGAACAAAAACCAGGCCAAGTTTGTTTCACTCTCTCTGATATTTCTCTGATTCTTAATCAATGAAAGTCACATCATTGATTGTCTGATGATATCTGGTTTGTATTTAGGTCACACCCCGTATCTTCCGTGATCATGTAAACAAACATGTTTTACCTCACTTCGGCTTCAGCGGAACGATCGCACGGTCAACTTCTTATCGATGGTTGTACAAACTCGGTCTACAACCCCAGAGTTACCAAAAGTCAATATACTTTGACGGTCATGAGCGACCAGATGTGGTTGAGTCTCGAAGAATATTCTGTAATGTAGTAGAAGAGCTTCGCAAAAGGTCGGCTACCTTTGTTGGAGATAAACTCGAGACTTCGATTCCACCCGATCCTGAAGTCCTGGGCAACAATCGAGAGACGGTCTTCGTGTATCACGACGAATCTACTGTGCACGCGAATGAGCGCCATCAAAAAGCATGGCTGCTCCCTGGCATCACTGAGCTTCGAACCAAAAGCAATGGCCGACTTATACATATATCAGACTTCATTCTCGAGAGTCATGGACGTCTAGAGATCAACCCAAATGAAGCGGGTACACATCAAGAGCCAACCGATGCCGCTGTTGT